ATTTAAAACATTAAATATGATTACATTTCTCGGAAACTAAAAATTATTTCGAACAAACTACCTACGCCACATTACTTTCCCCATGGTTCCACATTGTTGAGCAATTTCGATATCGTGAACGGTTTAGAAGTTATGGTGAGGCCCATAGTTTTGTGGAACTCTGTATACTCACGAAAGCTGTTTAACAGATAACAAATATTAAGAAGAATTCAGTTTTGTACATCCCTGACAAAAAATAGCGGGTTTTTTTAGTTTAAATTCTGATAATACTGTCGCCCCACAACGATTTAACTTATTCTGATGAATGGCTAACCGAACAACTACGAAATGAACTCGAGTTGCTCGAATTCTTTCTTGATACGTGATTCCTTTCCCAATCCCATCTCTCATGTCTTCCTGTTGATGGGGATTTTTTTTATTTTACGAGCTCTTTTTCATGGTCTGTTTTGGCGCTCTACGGTATAAAAATCATTTTATTTTTTGTAAAATTAAAATAATAGCGTAATATATTGAAATTCCTTTTCGTCTCGATTTACCTATGTCGCACGCGCGGGTGGTGTTTGGATTGCTTTTTGAACCCTTTTGCTTGCAAAATCTGTCGACAATTTAGCCAGTGAGAGTTACCAGGTATTTATTAGGGAGATATATCATCATCAGATAGTTTTTAGATATCATCATCAGATAGATAGTAGATTAGGTTTTTCAAATTTCGTATATGGAGTGTGATTTCGTTGAATATTGCAGGAGCATTCGTGCAGGAGCGACTTGCAGGAACCGTCTTCACACAGCCGCTCGTCTTCTTAACACTACCAGCACAAAGTGTTGGCATGTTTGGTGTTTCACCGAAATTTTTACTTTTATATTCTCAAATGTATTTATTATTATATTTATTTTATTATTTATGTTATTATTCGGTGTTGATTTATCTAAGACGTTGGCTATGGATTATCGCAGGTATGAAAGCATTCAAAAGAATGCTGAGGCTACTTGACGTTGCTTGACGATGTTATCTAAGACACCTGCCTCCGAATTGTATTATATATATATATATATATATATATATATATATATATATATATATATATATTGTATTTGCAGAAAACATTCAGATTATTTCCTTTCGCAGCACTGATACGAATAGCAAACGAATGCAGGCAATGCCAGATCGTTATCTCCAAATGCATCAAATGCCAATGCTAGTAAAATAAATGCAAAATTATTGTTCTAACATTGCGTCAATCGGTGAATTGAGGGGTTTAGTTCCGAAACGCGACCCCTTCCAGTAAATCGACACCGAGACTCAAATGACATCTCACTTGCCCGAATCATGAAGGGGAAGACGTCTGCCCATGAGTACGGACGGACGAACACTTAGACTGACATAGAATTAATAAAAGTAGAGTTAATAAACTCTTAGTGGCAAACTTTTCCTAAATAGCATTCAATGCACTATCTTTGTGCATGGATTATAACAGAATGAAAGTGTTATACGGGAAGATAAATGTACTCCGATGCAGGAGAAACGCTGGAGAGAATTTGTAAGCAATAAATGCAGGAGGGGAGACATCAATAGAATTTGTCGATATTGATGAAGTAGAGAAAATATATCCAGATGACATATAGTAATGAATCAACTAACTTGTACACATAACAAGACTGTTAATATAAATAAGGTTATTTTAGAAAATCTGGGAATGAGCCATTCCTCAATTGCGTTATTTTTAGCCCTCAAGTCGAAAATAAATCACTTTCAATCCGCTGCTATTTAATGACTAACTTGGCCTTTTGAAGTTGAAAGAAGGTATTTTTACCGATAATTGCCTCAAATCGTGTATTTCATTTGGTAAAAATATACCTTTCTACTAATCAGTTCTAGGAATTCAAACAACATTAAAACATTGTTTTGAATAGTGGAATGTTCTACTGTCATTGAACTGTAGACGCTTTCAGAAACTCGTATCGCAACGCTTCATTTGATGTAAACTGAACTTTAAATATTAGGTTTTGAATCGCCTACAATACGTAATATTACGAGACGACGTCACGGACTCTTCTGTTTATAATAAAGCAATTTTGCAGGTTTGTTTAACCTGCCGCGGTAAACATGTAGAAATGAAACTGTAGCTGATGTATCGGCTTGAATTGCAGTTCCATTTCAGAATGTGATGACTAACCATTGTTATTCAACACTATCATCCGTCGAAAACAGAGCAGATTTTTGTTCAATTTTTTACAGCAATTATTTTGTAGGTGATGTGAACAAATTTGAGGAAAAGTAAAAATTGTTAGCTGAAAAACCTGACAAAAATATTGAAGAAATATCTGCTTTATAAATGTGACTTCATTCTTGAATCGGTAATTTATAATTAACAAAAGACAATCTAAGAGCGTCTTCCACTTATGATTTCTTAAAAGACGTTTGTGCAACATTCTCGAGTGACTGCTGCATTAGAAGATGTGACGAAACGTAACGACGATTTTACGAGTCATTACCCAAGGCAAATAACTTTTAATTCGTGTGAAGCAGGAAAACGAACGTTCTGCAGTACAGATTGAAGCTGGAGTAGAGATAAACAATCTTAGCGCAGTATCGACATTTGGGTAAACAATGCAGGTTTTATTTTTATAGCCAGCGACGTAACGAAATAGGATTCCTTGTTTTGTTTGCTAGATAAAGACGCCAAATGAAACTTCAAATAAATAAAATGTTCTGAAACAAATGTGTCTTCATGATCATCGGGAATAGTTGATCACAAATTAACTTCGGTTTTTTTTTATCGAATAAAGGCATCTTTTCAAGTTTAACGATGTCGTAAAATTTTCCATTGATGCCTTCATAGGCTTTTCGTCTATTGGTCAATTTCACAATCAACTTTTCGGATAGCACCACATTGCTGATTCGAAAATTATCTTTACTAGTATTTTCCATTTCGTTGTCTCTAGCCTCTTCACTTTCCTTTCTCTTTCTTAATCGATTGTCTTTGCAAGAATCAGTTGGTCAGTTGTAATAAGGTGGTAGTAAAGGAGAGAAAGTAAAATGTCATTCTGAAAAATGAATATTTATTCAAAGCAATACTCTAATTCTTGTACATAAAATGTTACTCATGCAGAGTCACATTGAAAACTGAAGGCTGCATAGCCTTTTCATATAAAAAATACACGTAACTCTATAGCCAGTGTTGCCAGAGCATAAGTCATATTCTGGCTAGATGACGCTTAATTTCCCGTTCAAAAATTGGATTAGTAGATTTTCTGGTGCTATGAATTTTTCACTAAATTTGTATTATTTATTCATGTATTTGTGCTACAGAATAGTTTTCAATAAAAAAATTATTTAGATAATAGACATTACACATTACAAAAATTATATTCAACAAAAATTAATTCATAATTAAATTATACTCAAATAATAGTATTCAACTCTGATATTCTCATTTTATCAAAACAAATTCAATACTAGATTTGTTAGAAAACGAAGTTTTACAAAAATACGTTTATAAATTGAAATCACGCTAGATTCCGGAACGAAAGGGGAAACTTTTGCTAATTTCCCGCTTACCGCTAAAACTATTTTTCTCCTCGGATTACATCGAAAAAACATCAAATCGGGCGGGAATACCGCTGATCTGGCAATAAGGTCACTGGAATAGATGTAACATTCAGACTCCTTTTCGGCATCGCCCATCGCAATTTAAACATCGCCCATTCTGACTTATCGAAACTCATATAGCAGAAGCCATTATGAGTTTGTTAATAAATTAGTTTGCATTTTATCATTTAGTTCAAAAACTCACAGAATACAAATTAGAAAAAAGAAAATTCGAACGAGACGAAGAACAGCTAATTAGTCCACCACAGTCCAATTTTGCCGCTGTAGGCATGCGTCTCCTGCGCCTATGCGTATATCCGCCCCTGCATATTTGGTAGAATTAGACAAACGATCCTTACTCATGCTGAACAATATTTTTTAGATATCGGGAAGAAACAGATGAAAATTAAATCGTGATACCTAGCACGTGTATTCACACTCAATACGTTTTTGGCATCGATTAAAGCGTTCCATTAATGTATGACATTTACTTCGGGTTCAGATTTCAGGTTTACCATTAAAAGTAAAAATACACATCCCTTTGAAAATGTCTGTTCATTTCTTGCGATATTCGTAAAATAAATTCTCCTGAAATTAAGGAAAACACTGATGCCTATTCATTTACTATACGGAACTAAAGAAGAATTACACATAAGAAAACATCATTCCCTTGGTTTTCAAAATTATCCAAAAATGTAAATTTAATGTAAGATGACGTCTTGGTGTGTAAGAATCTCTTCCTTGTAATTTTTGTAGGGTAAGTATTAGCCAAAATATTGCATTTTAATTTTCTGTTTTCCCAACATTAATCCTGTTATTGATAAATCCTATGGGGTACTAGTCTGCTCATTAATTCATTTCATTGATAAACTAAGAACTTTCTTCACCAAACCCTCTACAAAAAAGCTAAAATAGCTCTTAGAACATCAGAACACAATGTGTAAACAGGAAAAGTGTACATACAAGAAGTAAGCCAGTAGTGTTACCTCATGATGTCAGATATTTGTATTACCCGTTGTATTAAGAGGGCGCAACAAGAAAATGTATTGATAAAAATATTAAGATGGATACTACAATTGCGGCACACGATGTAAACAAAGAGTATACGAAACAATTCATTAAAGGAAACACGAAGAAATTCGTGTGACGTAGAAACACGTTAAAACGTCGTTCCAGCTCCGAAACACGTTGCGGGCACAACTAGGTCAAAAACTCGTCGAATCAACAAACGATTGTCACACTTTGCGGACGCTTCGGCGTGGCGTGCGGCACAGTCATCCCACCTGTCTGCGAAAGAGTAATCTTCGGCAACGATGTCAGCGGCGAGTGCGAAACCGTCAGCGGCTGACTCCTCGACACTTCACTCGCGGCCGAAAGCACACGCCGGAGCTGGAGGTCACTCAGCAGACACCGGGCGTCGCTCGCGAACTGGCGGGCTCGCTCGGCGCTGGCCGGCGGCGGCGCTGGCAGCGGCGGCGGCGGCGGCGGCGGCGGCGGCGGCGGCGGCGGCGGCGGCGAGGCCACGCCACGCGACGCGGCGGAGGCGACGGCGCCGGAAAAACTGCCTCGCCTGACTGTGAGATGTGGTGGCGAAGAGGGCGACAACTGTATTGGAATTGAGCTGCAATAGTGATGGTAGTAAGAGTTTCTGAAGAGTGCACCCAACATGCTGACACGAGTTGCTGAAGATAACTGAAGGGCAACAAACCAGAGGATGTGGAGAAGTTGCTGCGAAACAGGAACAAGATAATAGGTGATGAGGGTGGAGTACCTCGACGAATTAGTTAGAATAGTGAAATATTTGCAACACTGGAGGAAGGGTCTGAAAGAAGGACGTCAGGAGGCGAACTTGTCTCGGGAAGAATATTCGAGATATCGACGAAATCTGAAAACGTCAATGTTCATATATTTTTGTTATAAGATACTGTAATATTATTACTGCTCATTTGCACGGACCACATTGAAAAATCGGTTTCAAAACATTAAATTACCAAAATTTAAGATATCAATTCTTATAAAAAAAAATAAATTGTTAATGTGTTTTCTCCTTTCTTCCCTTTGGCCGTTCATATAACATGTGACCAACATAAATGAAAATAACCATAAATCCAAACCCAGTAAAATACATAGTTTATAAGAAACAGAAATCAATTATATTACTTTAATTTAAAAATATCCTCAAAAGATTGAATGTTAAGAAATGGAAAGTAATTCCTTAAATGGTATTAACGACTCTTGAGGTTAGATAATATAGCCATTGTTCTGTTTTGGCTGTCGGTATCGAAGAGCACCACTTTAGTCCTTTCCCTGGACGTCGGAATCAGAATGTTGAAGGCATGTCCTGCACGTGCTCTGGTCATGTGACAAGTTTTACTCATTCCGTTTTACGCGACCGAATAAACACGAGCGTAAGTGGCTTACCGGCTTGTAAGACTGTGATAAACGAATCCTTCAAATCCTAATCGTCTGCGCACGCAAATCGGCCCCGTGTGCACACATGTTGAAATTCCACAGCGCTGGTATACTTTGTGCAGGCCTATAATAGTATATTGAGAAACTAGGCTATAATGCATTAAGCTTTATTGCATGAGCTAATGTTTTAAAAACGAGCCACTTTAAGAGTGAGTTTGCAAATTTGTAAGAATACAATGACGCAATATTATAAACAAGTTCCATAAGTCTTTTTACTTTCCCGTATACTTACGTATATACGGAGTAATATACGTAGTATAAGATTTGTTATTTAATGAAGCGGAAAATCGATTTCGAGAGTACAAAGGAAATGCCGAAAAAGTGGTTTCTTCACAACGTCCGTCCGTCTCTGTATGTGAACAACACTAGCGCCAAAAACCAGACGTAGGATTTTTTCCAAATTGAAGAAACCCCTGTCCATCTGGTCTAATAAAAAGCTCTGCTATTTTGAAAAACACTAATTAGTTTTTGGGGGAACTTTCAATGAAGCCTCTGGATCATTTTCAAAAGTTTCTCAAAAATGACTTCAAATTTTTTATTTAAAATTCTTGTAACAATGGAGTAAAATAAACGTATAAAGGTGGCATGAGTTCTATTTTCACGGTTAACTCTAAATTTTCGAAAATTTCAAAAGTTTGAATTCTTTCGGGGTCTTTTTACAAATAGAAAATTAAAAATGGAGATTTTACCTTCACATAAAATTTGTGGCCCATAATTTGTTCTTTCATTAAGATCATGTAGATTCCTTTGAAAATTTTAGTAGTTTTCGCGCAATATTGCGTTAAATATGTGCAATTTTAAAAAATTTCAAAAACGAGATTTACTCAAAAAAGGCTCAAAATTTTTTCTTTAAACGTTTCGTAGGGATAGTGATAAATTTACTCAATAAGATGATGAATACACCATTTTGCTCTATTCTTTTGTTTTTCAAAAATGACATTTTTTGAATTGTCTTTCTCGTCGTGAATATTTATATTGACGGGAATTTGTTCACATTATTATATTTATTAGTACTGTACTTTAAATAATGCCACATCAAGCTTCTCAAAAACAATCATTTTCTGTGACAAACAGCTCAAAATTTAGAATGTTCAGGAACGTTCAAACGTCATTTTCTCACAAACAACTTCAATTTTTTTTCAAATTTTTGAAAGGATTGTGCTCTTTAATACGACGTTCATTTTGGGGGTATTTGTTCGGTTTTTTAAAAAATCACACAATGTAGTTTGAAAGATCTCTCAAGCCGTTAATGTGCACATTTCCAACAATTTGTAAACACTATTGTATTTGTGAGTTAAAGAAATTCAAATGAAGGTTTTCGAAAACTCAAAAATGTTCTGTGAAAAAGTGATTCATTCAAAAGTGAAAATTTCGAATTTTCTGTAGCGCCATTTTCTTAAAAACGTGTCGAAAGTTTTCAAAGAATATTGCCATTTAGGACAAGGTTTTACTGTTCTTTAATGTTCTTAAAATAATATTTCCGTTATAGTTTTAGAAAAGCGACAAAATAAGATAATTTCAAAAAAAAATACTTCGTTGGGCGATAGACGGCAATAGGCAAGAGTGTGCTGCAAGTTCGAATAGGTAACCGAGACCAAAGGAAAAGAAAACTAATATTGGAAAGTTTGTGCCATTCTGTAGCACCACTAGTCCTACTTAATATTTCCTTTACAATGCTTCTAGGTATTGATTATATTTTAAATTTGTTCAAATGTAGGTCATAATTAATTTATTTTATTTTTATTTTTCAAGATGCCTCAAGAACGACATTTTGCATTTGTGGCTAACGTACCTCAAAGCCGGAGTCGGTACTGGTCGGTGGATTTGAAGATTAACAAAGTTAATAATATATACTTGCGGACACAGTGCAAAAGAATGCGGAATGTCGAGGATGCGGACACAGTGCAAAAGAATGCGGACGTTTCGCCTGTCATGTCGGAGGCTTCTTCAGGGAAGTGACACAGTAAAACTCCGCCTCCGGTGTTATATCTTTTGTTTTAAATCGGTCAAAGACACTTACTGCTTCATTCTGCCGGATTTAGCACCACCATTACACAATCTTCCAAACAGGCCTTGGTCGAGTAAGGCCACTTTTAGAGAAGATTATTGCTGTAGCGTCGTGGTATCGAGTGAAGAAGCGGTTGTAAATCTTTGACCGCCGCTCCATGCTCCAATGTGAAAACCAAACGCTGGTAATAGATTTCCAACCGACGCAAGATAGAATTGTGAAGCGAAGTTTAAAGATGATTTACTGGTAGAGTATTATAAGACGATTGCACGTCTGTCACCACAGCTGCCAGTTTGATTCAAGTAATAATGCAAGGGTAGTAAGGTTTAATACATGCGAAAGCCAACCATGCAAGCCTGGCTCGTGTATCGTGAACAGAGGCACGGCGGTGTAGTATCGGTCTTTTTTGTTTGTATATTAAAACTCACAAACCTCAAAAACCTGTTCATTTGTTTGAAAATACGATTTGAAAACTTTGATTGTTCGTGGCACAATAGTGACAGCTATCAGATTCTTGGCGAAATTTGGCGATATATAGCATTGTCGATGGCGATCAAGCACTTTAAATTACTGGGAACGTCGAAGACAATGTATTTAGAACCGGCGCAAGTCAATCATGCGAGCCAGGCTTTCTCGTACTTGGGCACCTTTAGAGACTTGTGCAAGCGGAGAGGGAGGGGGTGATGGACTGTTGTCGCCCCGAGCGAGCGCGCGGCGGCCTTTGAATGCGCTCGTAATGATTCAAAGACTGACGCCATGAGCGCTCAGAGGGATGTTCCCACTCGGCGGTGGGAAGCAGGGGAGGGCGTCTCTGCGAGGAGGAGGCGCGAGTCCTTCACGGCGCTCAAGCCACAACCCTTCAGTCAATGATAAGTTACTTTACGTAATGACAATAGTTCAATGCACATTACAATTCCGCCTATTTCTCTATTGTTTATTCATTACGAAGCGAAAAATTTCATGTTCAATGTTCAAAATTCAAACATAGTAGAGTTGTATTTATTTATTTTATTTAAAGTGTCATCATCGGCAAGGTTATTAGCGACTGCAGTTGTATATGATACACTCGTACAATCAATACAGAATTTACATTACATGGAGAACCCACAATTTAAACATTATTTTTCAATTGACAGTCAGACCTATAAATCATTATACACTTTTAGTATTTTGCATAATGTTAACATTTTTTCCCTGAAAAACGCAAGAGTATAACTTTTTTTAAGATTGTCAGTTTGTAGGATTGATTGCCGTTCACGGATATATTTGATACATGACTGAAGGATATAGACAATTGACAGTTGTTCGTTGCATGACACATTTTAAGGAAGCTGTGTTATTTAGCAGATGGTATTTAGTTAGCTTAGTGTATTCAGATCTGATTTCAGAAAGTGCCACTTGATCTTTGCGGTTTAGTTTTTATTGGTATTTAGATTATGAAAATCTTCGATCATTTTCTATATACCGCTTATTTTGCACTCTTTCCAAGTCGTATTTCATTGTTTTTTCATGATCTTCATTATGTGATTCCATGTATCCTTGATGGAGTGGACAATATTGTGGACATTTGTTGCTGACTAAAGATCCACGAGTATTGTCGGAATTGGGCTTCCGTTAATCGTAATTGGACCAACTTGATGGAGAGACCAAAAAATTAGCAGCCTTTTTCCTTGCCTATTTAAAAGATAGCACATTTCCTGTATAATAACTATAACTTCCGACTTCTGGTTTGTGTTACCACGACAGTAGACGTCGTGTGAATAACACTGTTTTCAAACGAGGACTGGTGAATTGTGTCTAATGCAGACATAACTGCATACTTCTCGGCTGTAATAGAGCTATAGTATTTGTTGCTCAAGCTAATAAGCTTGTCACAGGGTTCAAACGATTGCTTCGGTTGACTGATTTTTTTATCACAACTAAAAGTGTCTGAAATGTGGTTGATCGTTATGAATTTTTTTGTTCTTTTATCCTATTCCTCGTTATTTAAGGGACTGGGGCATTGTTCATACCATGAAGATTCTATCGGGATACAAGATTACGTCCAAAATGTAATTCGATAGCAGCCTTGTTTCTCAGCTCTGGTATTTTAACGTTGATGTTGGGGAGGATTTGCTTAATTCTCCGATAAAATGGTTTGTTTCGCTGAGGACCACTATATGGCTGGAGAAAAGAAGGAAGCCATGGTTGACAATTCTAGAATTGGTGGACGAGACAGCTTTTATGGCATACTCAATGCTTGTGATATCCCTTCGATGGGCTAGTGTGGGCTCGTGAGGCTCAATGAATATGTTACCAATTAGAGTAGTGTGGTAACAACCATCACTAATTCTTAACCCTTTGTTATGAATAAAGTCAAGTTATGAATAGAGTCGAGAAATAACCCTGTCCACCACAGTGCTCGTCTAGCTCTTTCCTCATTTTACACGCTCTTCAAGTAAAATGTAAGTACTCGAACTTCCATAAACTCATCAATTTTCTTCATTTTCTATTGTTCGAAAATATTCCTAACTGTAATTAGTTTTTTGTAATTTGGTCAGTAATTTAGCCAAATTAGTTCGTAACATAACTATTAATTCACAACCAGTTCCAAAATTATAACTTCGTCTCTCGCGAATGTACCATAGCCACCTTCCTTCTGACTCACAGGATACATGATTCTCTTCTCTCTCCCAACTTACAACGTACTATGTGAAGTTGCGCGTTGCGTGGGTATTTACCGCAATCGTCTATTGTGCAGGGAAAGGAATCTGTATCTCCGCCTGCTGCTTCCCACCGTCCTCGTCCGTCGCTTGGCCGCGCCCGCCCAGCCTGCCGCCCAGCCTGCCGCCCAGCCTGCCGCCCAGCCTGCCGCCCAGCCTGCCGCCCAGCCTGCCGCCCAAGAGGTAAAAGATACATATATTTGTTTAAGTTCAAATAATTGAACGAAAACAGCTTTCTGCCATTGAATTCAGTATATTCACTTTCTACATATACGTACCAACGATGCCCGATTATTATTTTAGCTTTAAATAAAAGTATTAGTTTATATTAACGCTAAATAAAAAGCAGCAGTCATTATCGACATCTGTTATTAGTGCGGCATTACAACATGGGATACAAGGAACAATAACCGCTTATGCCTATGGGATTCACATTTTGCCAAATAGCATTGTTGACTCTGCTAGCGAGAAAATGAAAATTAATAGAAAAATATAATATTTTTATATGTATCAAACGTATTCGTTTTTTACATGCATTAAGTTTCATACCCACTTCTTATTAAGCAAAGCGAAATCATGTTTGTTTTCATATTTAGCTCAATTAAAGGACGCATTTTAAAATAATTTCTAAATGATGAAATTTAAAGCGTATAACAAAAACTGGAAGAAAAAAATGAACAAAGAAAACTCAAATAATATACAAATTCTAATTTACGTAGCATCCAACTGCTTCAAAACATTTCTAAAATTAAGTTCCCACAGGCGCAGGAAATAAGGAGCGGACCTCAATGTTTGACGTCAAATTACTCCAAAAATACTCATATTTTCGTAAAATTCAAGATGACCTTATTTGAAGATATGCTTTTGTTGAACACATTTAATTACGAAAACTGTATCTTCGTAACTGTAGTTGTAAGAAGACGGTGAAGCGATTGAGTTTTTTTTTTCAAAACTTAGAGTTTTCAACCATCATGAGACCGTGACCATTTTCTTAAACGTCCTTCAGACTATCCACTAACAAAATTTCATCAAAAACGACGGAGCTGTTAAAAATTTCTTATAGTTCACACAAAACTACGAAAAACCTACTCAAATTTTCGAAACATTGTACATCGTCTTCCTTCAAAATCTACCTTTAAGTAATCAATTTTATTAAGGTAAAAATCTTTAATATTTTAGTTGTAGGTTTAGTTGTTGAACGTAAAAGTTCTTGAATAGTTTAGTTATAGGTTCGCTCCGAAAAATTTTGAATTTCTGAAACTTTCCAAAAATCTGGATTTTTAATGAAAATGAGACCTGCATCATTCTCTTAAACTTCATTTACACTATCCAACAACAAAATTTAATTAGAAACAATGGACGGTTTTTTTGAAAATTTTGTAAATGTAAACAGGGGTTTCATGTAAATTATCCCCCAAAATTAAAATATCATTTTCAAATTCAAGAAACCGCCACATCCGCCAGATTGATTGGGAAATATGAAGAAAATCAGCTGAACTGTTTAGCCACTAGCGTTGTTCACAGACGGACGGTCAGACAGACACACAGACAGACGTTTTACCGTCAATCAACTTTCCGATATCAAGGACCCAGAAAACATAGAACACCATGTGTTAGAGAATTTGTTTCTAACTTTAGCAACTGGATTTATCCTCGTTTTCCTTACTACGGCCCTGTAAGGAGAGTTTTTCCGCCATTTTTTCGTGCAGCATTACATAACTTTTTCTCTACCACGGAAGCGGTAGCGAGAAAGTAAAAAATTGGCCTAAGCTATAATACACTCTACCTGTCTGTGAAAATCTCATCAAATTCTGTTAAACCGTTATCGCGATTAGCCAGGACAAACAGACAGAAAGTCCAACAATCAGAAAAAAAAATATAACTAATGAATAGGTTTTTACATCATGTAAACAACCATATGAGATAATATATATGCAGTTATTTCGAAATTATTAACAGGCTATCCAATTTTATTTTTTTTTTTTACATTTTAAAATTCAGCTGTTATATTCCGGATATCATGTGCTATTTTTCTTCACCGAAATGAAAGTATCACGCAATGTCTATTGTCTAGTGACTTCAATACCTAACTCATTTTGTGAATAAATACATCATTTTAATGTCCAACTCATTCTAAAATGTGGTTATTAACGTTGTATTCCTGTATCTTAGTAGATGACAGCTGGTGGATTGCGAATTAGGAGGGGACGCCATGCCTAACTATCGCAATTATCGCAAACATTTTATCACTTCAAAATATTTCTCGAACGAGAAACTAGAGCATATAATGTACAACCGTTTTGCACTTAATTCGCTTACATTACGCTTAATTCGCTTAATTACAACTAAATTCGCAGTCACAAATTGCACTGGTGGTATGTCAATTATTTCATGTTGAATACTTTGTGTGACTTTTCCCGAGGTTGGTTTTTCATGGGAGGGCGCCACCCTAGAGTCAGAAGCAGGCGCCACCGCTGACCTCGCCCTTACGTTCAACAGCATTCTTGTCATTCTCGGAATGCTCTTTAACAATTTTTAAAACTTACATCCTCCCTTTCGGCAATAAACAAATTTTCTACATGTAATACATTTATTTATTGTAGATATTGGTGGTTTATCAAAAAACTATTTTTTTCTGATTTTTTTTTCATATTTTCTGTCCCCTAATAGTTTAATGAGCTTTTCAGAATGTAATAGAAAACAAAAAATCGCTTGTTTCTACGCTTTCGACGTTTGGAGCCAATTGAAATCGTTTCCAAAATGCAGTGTTTTGAGCTCATTTACATTCGAAAACTTATGAAAATTCAAGAAACATCATTAGGTATCTTTTGTAATATGATATTTGTATGCTCAAGTGTATTATAGTAGTTAACGAAATGAGTGGATAAAGAGGAGTATCATTTTTTGAGTATTCTTTAAGTGATACGTTCTAGAAAACGAGCGACGATAGGAGCGAATTTACTTGTTTAACACGAGAGCAATTATATTCCTTTATTCACGTGTAACGTTCAATATTTTTTCGTTTCCATTCAAGACTAATTTAAATTTTAAGAAATTCATGCACATCTTTACCATTTGAGGCATATATTTAATAACTTTTGCGATGAATTGCTTCTGAAAAGGAGATATTTTAGTGATTTTTTAGTGGGCCTTGCATTGTGGTTATTTGCAAGAAATGTTTGCAAATGAAAGATATTGAATACATTCCGGATGAACTTGTATTATAAGATGATAAAAACTTTACTTTGTACGAAAATTAAATTCAGTTATGAGAGAAAATACAACATGTATAAATATTGAAATGTAAAATAAATAAATCACAAATGAGTTGACCAATTTTCTTTTATTCATTCATTGTTTAAATGTAGTTTATAGAGAAAAATCCGTGATGTACAATTTTGTACATGTTTCATAGCCGACCAGAAATATGTTTGCCCTGTCTGAGTTATAGTGATTTAATTAAAAGATTTTGATCCTATTTCTGAATTCTGATTGGTAGTTGTGGAGTTTTAATTGCACGCGTGCCATTAACACAGTGATAATCATCGATTTGTCTTGGAATTAATGAGCATATTTAGTTAAATAAACGAATAAATTACATAATACTCTTGTAACGTAAATATTAATGATGTGTGAGATATATACAAATTTCAAATAAGTAACTGTTGAATAATTAAAAGTTGCAATAACAATGGCTCTTGTCACGTGGTTCCGTGCATTGTTATTCACCACCAGAAAATGGTTTAAAGTAAAAATATGGAGCGTTTTACGACACTCTTGTGAGGTGGTTTTGGGAAATTGCCACGATTTGATTCAAAATTATGCGAAAACGACTATTTTTTTAAACAATGGATTTGAAAGCATGCATTAAATGATTGAAATATCTGATGTATAGAATGTATTAAGAAAGACATCTCTACTTTCAATAATGAAGGTGTAGGGCTAGTTCAAAAAACAATAGTTTCAAATGTGGTATTCCTTATGGATTTTAAAGAAGCGCACGCGCTGCATTCGTCTAACAGAAAAATAATAAAATAATGTTCAAAGAACATTATACGTCAGTAGATTTGGAGTATTTAAGACATTGACCAGTAGTACTCATTTCTTCTTCTTGTGGCGCCACAGCTCAATTCACACCCAAAGCCACATATATAAACACATATTCTTTTTAAGACATAATTTGACTTCCTGTGATTTCTTTAATGAAGTGCGTGGGTCGACTTGCATGGAACGCGTTGGTCCGAGGTCGCTCTTGGGAGGATCTTAGCGACGCCGGCCGCGTCTGAGGACGACGTCCCCAAGGTCAGCGGCGGCCCTGACCGCCTCACCGCTCGTCCTCGTGCCTCCTCGCCCGGCCAGCGCCCCGCCTCTCCGCACGTCACGATTCACGACAGCCTACGCTCGACTATATGCCGCGCCTTCAGCCAATATGCAAGCAGGGTGCGAATGGCGGGAAAAAACACCGGCAATTGGGATTTCGGAGACAAAAAACGTGCACAGCTTAAACTTCTCTCTCGTTCATCTCATAATTTTAACTGTTTTAACGTTAAAACTTAAATAACGAAATAAATTGTAATAGTACACGTTTGTGATGATATACTCTCCTTATGGTATTTGTATTTTTAATTATCAAAATAAACAAAGTTATATTTTTCGAGACAAAAACTATTTTTAAATTATAGCTTTGTGAAGAAGTATAAAGAGATTTTTAGAACACGTGACTTTTAGAGCTCCTGAGGACCGTCGCCTCTGCAGGTGGCAAGTGGAAGATACTGGATTCCGCAAACTAATGGTTACAATACGGTGCAAGTGTCAATTTTCTCTCAGTAAGGGGAGACATTCTTCGTTGGAGGTTTTCCTATCCCTACAATGGTCTAAAAACGTGATCGTTATCTATAGGTAAACTTTACCGATGTGAGATGTTCTTTTTTCTCTAAAAGTAAGTTGCATTTTC